TAGTCTCAAATAGGTGAGTTTTACTCCTTATGCCACAGCACAGCCTGCCACAGGTCTGTCCAGAGGCTTCTGGGTCCTGAGGGAGGTCCTGAGATGCTGCAGTTGATCTCTTGATCTCAGAACTGAGGATCTATGTAGGAACTGGAGGAACTTGGCACAGGGACGCCATCTGTGGGAAGGAGATTTAGGGTGATTCTGAAAGCCAGGCTGTGGCCCTCTGCAAAGCCTCCAGAGCCTGGGCAGGGTGAGCTGCGCTGTCAAGGGCTGAGATGCTCTTGGTGGGTTCTGACAAGAGACCAATGCTCCAGGCCAGGTGGGAGTGCGATGCGGACACTGACTGCTGTTGACGTGGTACTGGTAGATGCTTTGGGTGTGTGAGGGTTGTACAGTTGGAGCTCCTCTGATACATGGCATTACCAGTGCACGAGGCTACATGTGAGACCCAGGGACTGACAGATAAAATGAACCCACCTGCGGAATTGGCCAAAGCCACACGCTGCGTAGGTGCAGGTGCCATGTCTACAGCGCTGGGTTCAGGGCTGGGTGCAGCGGGGATGCAGGTGGGATGATCGTCTTACTGGTGGGCTCTGTCTTGGGCGCAGGCAGATGTTTGTCCCGCCCCCTCTCAGCTGTCCTCTCCTGGTGCAGGTGGCTGGCCATCCGTCTGGAGTTCGTTGGGAGCCTGGTGGTCTTCTTCTCTGCGCTTCTAGCAGTGATTTCAAAGAGCACTTTGGGGGGTGGCATCGTGGGTCTTTCGGTCTCCTCCGCCCTCAATGTAAGTCAATGAAAGCTTTATCTTATTCCAGGACAGGGCTGTTCCTGGGATCTCTGGTCTGGCTGGAGGATGCTGCCCTGCCTCCAGCGCTGATCCATGGAGGGGGGATTAGCTGTGGTATCTCATCACCTGGGGAGCTGCTATGGAGCCAGGGAGCACACATCCTGGTGTGAGGGGGATACTTGCTGCTGTGGGGAGGAGACGGTCCCGCTATGGACTGCAGCAAAGTTTTTGAAGGGCTGAGGAGAGGGGGCTGTGATTGGGGAGTGGAGAGTTAGGGCCAGGCCAGGGATGCTCGTGGCCGGGCTGAGTCCCTGAGCTGAGGTGGGAGGTGGTTGTTCATGGATCCCACTGAGCTCTGCATCCTCTGGCTCTGCCACGCAGGTGACCCAGACACTGAACTGGCTGGTGCGGATGTCTGCGGAGCTGGAAACGAATATTGTGGCTGTGGAGCGGGTACACGAGTACACGAAGGTGAAGAACGAGGTGAGGAGACCAGGGTCCAGGCAAAGATCTGCTGCAAAGCATGGTGCTAGCCAGCGTTGCAGGGTGCCTCCCCCGCTAATGCTCCTGTGCCCCCAGGCTCCATGGGTGACAGAAAAGCGCCCACCCCGTGGCTGGCCCAGCAAAGGCGAGATCCAGTTTGTTGACTACAAAGTTCGTTACCGACCTGAACTGGAACTGGTTCTTCAGGGGATCACCTGCAATATAGGGAGCACCGAGAAGGTGAGGACCTCTCTGCCTCTGCCCTCACTACACTCTTTGCAGACTGATGCTGTGTTAAAATTGTTTCTGTCCTTTGGCTTCAGTCTGTGGGCTGGGGAGGGATGGTGATGGGACCTGGCTCCTGGGGACTTGAGCTGCAGGCAGGGGCCAAAGGAGAGACAGTCTGGGAGATGGTGATTGCAGATGCAGGGCAGAAATGCCCACCAGACCAAGACAGAGAGCATCTGGCCTGTTTTCTTCTACCCTTTCGGTTGGTCTAAATAGCTGCTTCCACAGGTTGGGGTTGTGGGCCGGACTGGGGCTGGAAAATCCTCCCTCACCAACTGCCTCTTCCGGGTGCTGGAGGCTGCTGGAGGGATGATCGTCATCGATGGGGTGGATATAGCGACAATTGGCCTCCATGACCTGCGCCAGAACCTCACCATCATCCCCCAGGTGAGCCGATCCCTGCCTTTCCACGCCCCACTGCTGCACGGCGTCCCCAGGCTCTGTTCCCTGGGAGATGGGTTGACCGTAGTTCATCCCTGGGTGCTGCGGAGACTCCAAGGCCCTGTGAGCATCCATCGTCACCTCCCTGCCCAGCTGATGGCAGCGGGGTGGGCAGGATGTGGCCAAACTGTGGCATGGCCGAACGCTGTGCTGTTCCTGGCAGGACCCTGTGCTCTTCACTGGCACCTTGCGAATGAACCTGGACCCCTTTGACCAGTACACAGATGAGGAGGTCTGGAAGGCCCTTGAGCTTGCCCACATGAAGACATATGTGCGAGACCTTCCCGGGGGGCTGCTGCATCCTGTGAGCGAGGGAGGGGAGAACCTGAGGTGAGCCGAGGAGTGGCGGCATGCCCAGCTCCTCTTCCTTCCCCTGGTCTCCATGTGGGAGTCAGGGCTGCCAGGGAGCCAGTGCGAGCCAACCCTTCTGTGGTGGTCCAGAGAGGAAGATGCTGAGGGATGGGGTGCTCGGGTGGCAGATGGTCAGCTGGGAGAAGGCCAGGGTGGGCTGGACAGGCATGGTGCTTGGGCCAGGGCAGCGCATGTCAGTGGGTTTGCAGAAGCCCTGCTGGTGTCTGCCTGGTGACTCATGTTCCCACCTCACCCCAGTGTCGGGCAGAGGCAGCTGCTGTGTCTGGGCCGGGCCCTTCTCCGCAAAGCCAAGATCCTCATCCTGGACGAAGCAACAGCCGCTGTGGATCTGGAAACTGATCATTTAATCCAGACAACGATCCGGAGCGCGTTTGCTGACTGCACTGTCCTTACTATTGCCCACCGCCTCCACACCATCATGGACAGCAACAGGTGCCGTGGGGCAAAGGGAATGGGGCTCCGGCTCCTAGGATGGGGCGAGAGGTGGCCAGCAGCAGGAGCATGGATGCGGGCAGAGGGGCAGGGATGGATGCAGTGCCCGGGACAGCAATATGCAGAGGTTCTAGGAGAGAACAGAGGGACGGGAAGGATGGCCATGCAGTTATTATGCCTTTGAGGAGGGAAGCATTTTTTGGGATCCTTCTTCACAGCAACAGGCCATAGCGGCGTTGATAACACCTGATGTGTGTCACCTCCCAGCACACGAAGGAGAGCTGTGCCCTTGCCTCTGTGCTGAGAGGAGGTGACCACGTAACGTGGCTGTAGCAGGAGCGAGGGTCGGCGGGGCTGTAGTGCTGTTGCCAGCAGCACTATCAGCTCACACCCCAGGAGCTCAGGCCTTCTTGTTCCCTGTTGCCAGGGTGATGGTGCTGCAAGCTGGGAGGATTGTGGAATACGACAGCCCTGAGGAGCTGCTCAAGAAGCAGGGCGTCTTCTCCTCAATGGCAAAGGACGCTGGCATCACGAATATAGAAACCACTGTGCTGTAGGTGGAGTGGAGCAGCGTGCAGGTGTGTGCACAGGCAGCTTCCTCCTGCTGGCACTCACCAAGCAGGCACTGGTGTCTCCTTGCAGCTGGACTGCCCAGGAATTTGTCTCTCTGCAGCTGGGAAGCGAAGAGGGTGGCTTCTCTGGCTGTCAGGGACAGAGAGTCTGGACTTCAGTGAGCTGTTAACCTTGCTACTGCACCCTGCCTGCTGTGCACACAAGGGTCTGGAGCCGTGTAATTTATTCCACTATAGA